CTCAGAAAGCCTTTCCAAAGTATAATGGCTGATTTCCCTGGAAACAGGAAGGATATATTTAGAGGCTTTCCTGGGAGAATAGACTGGCTGCAGGGACTGGTGATGGACTGTGGAGCCTTTCACCTCCGGGTCAGCAGGTCAAATCCAAATCAGGCCTGAGGAGGCTGAGAGGCATTGTGTGAGTGACAGCTGTTGGATGACCTAGGTGAAAGGAACTGGAGGGTTCTGCTGCATTTCAAGTGAAGTGAACAGGTGCTGTCTGCCTCAGCCTGGCAGAGGATGAAATGAGCTCAGAAATAGTCTGAGCTCAGTCTCACTCCCAAGGCCATCTCTGACCTAGCAAAGTGAGGAGCTTGCCTTTCCAGTACTGAGTGACAAGAGGAGAGCCAAGATTGGTGCCCCAGGGGGGCATGTCAGCTGACTGGCAGACTCCTGCCACCCTGAGGAATGAACTGCTTCCTCAAGTCATGGCTGAAGTGCTTTCCACCCCACCCACCTCACTCTAAAATCCCTCTTCTCCTGGCTGGCACTGTTCTCTACCATTGAGTAAGGACAAAACGAGGAAGATGCAAAGGGACTGATGGGTGGGCTGCAGGGATTGAAATAAATGATGTGGGTTTTCTTATTCTTAGTTTTTTAGTATGGATTAGAGTCACAGCACCCTAGCTGAAGACAGAGTGTATGTAGAGCACAGCAGAGACTAGGGTCAGGATTTGGCAGCTACTTCCCACAAAGCTGAGGATAGAAAGTCACATTTGTCCTACCCTGCATTTGACCTCTGAAGAAATTAAGAACAGGTAGTTGGAGGTAGGTCTCAGGGTTAGAGTCTTGGTCACTTGTAATGCTGGGAACTCCAAGGGATGTGATGGTGACTGGATTCATGGCATCCTAAGGGAAGCAAGGGTGGTCAGCTGAAGAGACAGAACTCTTAAAGAGGGTTTCGAAGGCTTTTCAGGTGAGGCCTCTGTACTGCTTTGACTCTTGGGCCACAAGTTAGTGGACCTAATGTCATACTCTGGGCACAAAACTGGCACCCTCTTGCTTTAAATCTCTTCAAATTTCACCTTCTAGGAAAAGCCTCCATGAGCAGTGGATGTGCAGTGACCTCACACTTCCCATCTCCACTCTCTCTGGGTTCTCTGTCACTACCCCATGATGACTCTCTCTTTCATTTCCCTCCAAGTTTCCCTCCAAGGTGTGAGCTTCAGGACTAGGACTTTCCTTGTTACTTTGGTTTGCAATGCCCCCACAGCCTCATTTCTGAGGACTAAAGTGTCCACCAGAAATCGCCTATGTTTAAGAAGTGGAAATCCCTTTAGATTCCAGGTTTGAGCAAGCTGGCACACTGCTCCCTGGGACATGCATAGGGTGTGGGGGGGCCGCTCCCGATACCCTCACGCCTACATTTCAAGGTCCTCAGATGTTCTTCAGGAGCTCTAAATCATGTGAGAAAGGAGCTTGCTGAGCGGCAAATGAGCATCTGTAGAAGCAGGAGAAAGGACTACTGGAAGCCAGAATCCCCGTGGTGTTTGCATGTCACATTTTCCACTGAGTTTTTGATGGCAGGTTAACGGGACTGTCCCCTAGTGTGGCTAAGTAAACAGTCCTCCATGCTGTGACCGGCCTCTCTTCTCCCTCTCCCCCAACCCCTCCTTTCCACCTGCAACCCAACACCCTCCCAATCCATTTCTCAGGAAAATAAATCTTAGGAGGAGGCAGGGAGAGTGGATCTCAGAGAACCCTTCTAAATAAATGTCTATATTAATGAATTATTAACTCAGCCACCCGTGACCTTAAACCTAGAGAGCAGAGCACCCCGGGCAGAGGAGAGCTGAGAATCCTTTATTGGAGTCCTGTCAACTACGTGATCACTTGTGCCCCTCCTCCACCAGGAAAGAGAATGAATATGAAAGCAAACTTTTTAATTGTGTCAAACGAAATTGGATAAAGGCTCTCCTGACACATCTCCTTCTTGCTTTCCCGCTGTTTCCTGTGTCTTTTCCTGCTCTTCCCTCTCCTGTTCCCCCCCCCGCACCCCCCCACCAGCTAAGGGTGCAATGGGTTTCTTAAGGATAATTTTTTTTTGGGGGGGAAATGCTCAAGAAAATGATAAATTTGGGTAGTTAATTTATCGATCTTGACTGCTCTTCCCACTTGTTTCATTTTAGAGGTCATTAATCAATGAAGAAAAACATCACTGTGTTCCCCGTTTGCATTTAACACACTCACGCTCCTTATTTATTCCTCTAGAACAAATTCCCAGCAAATATTCACCCATCGATTTGGGAGCGATGGATTTTTATAAAGGTTTGATCGCTTCTCAAGTGGTCAGAGTGATTTTTTCCCGCGGTGCAGTAAGTGCCCTGAAGAGGAGAGCAGGGAGGATTTGGGGGTTGGACTTCGACCTTGCAGTCTGGGAGTTCACTTCTAGCCACCGGACAGGCAGGCAAAGACGTTGGCCAGGGAGTGGTGGCCCAGGTCTGTGGGATGAAGCGGAATGGCCCTCCAGAGGGGAACCTTGCAGCAAAGCCACTCCACCCGCCACGCTCATTCCGGCCAAGCTGTGGGGATGGCGCTGACTTTTGCCTCTGCCAGCCTAAGCTGCAGACCCACTGGGGAGGTTCCCAAACGCTGCTCCTATGACTTTCTCTCCCTTCCAAGTCTTCCTGAAAACCCCTCTAATTCTGCCTGTTCTTTTTACAGCCTGTCCCTGCACCCTCAGGGACCTAGGGTCCCCTCTATTCACCCCTTAGCTGTGCTTGGGGCTTCTGATCGAATGTAATAGGTAATACCTCCCAATTACAGCATAGAGGGAGAGGAGGCCTTTCATACCTTTTCCCTGGCCCCAAGCAAGCCTTAAGTCCTGAGGGTATTCCTTGTTTTCTCTGTCACCAGTCTGGATGAAATGAGGGCGGGGTTTGTCTAGGATAAGAAGGAAAGTGCACTTGGTAATTCCCTTGGCCAAGGTTTGAATGGGCCTCAGTCACTCCTTTGTGATCTCAAGCAACCTCCCTAGCCTTTCTGTGCTTCCCGTCCGCCCAGTCCTCTTTTATGATGACACAAGGGATTAATGATAATGCCTTCCTGCACGGATGCTTGGCGAGCTACCTGTACACAAGGTGTCAACCCACACCTGGCTCTCCTTAATTGGTCAACACACACACACACACACACACACACACACACACACACACACTGTGGGCAGCATGAGGCCTCTGAAGCAGTTGTTGCAACTAACAGGTCAAACCCCAAAGTCTTTCTAGTGGGAAAAGGCTTCCAGAGGTTCTTCGGGACTTCAAGACCTCCGAGACTGGGTGCTTGGAAATAGTCATCTGGTTTGGGGCAGAAACAAAAAGGAGGCAACCTGGGTGCCAGCAGTCACTGCCTTGGCGTCTGGGCTTCATCCTCGATGCACCCTGCCTCTCCCAGCACACAGAGAAAAGTCCTGGTTTCTCAGCCATGAACTGGAGAAGCGTGAAAAACAGTTTGCTCTGAGGCAGCTCTACAAGCAGCAATAGAAAAGGACCTGGAACCTCACTCTCCCTTCCCATGGAGTTGTTCGAAGTCTATGAAGATGGCCTGGTTAGCTTTGAGGTCTGTAGAGCCCTGGGTCTCCCCTCCTTTTTGCCTTAGATCTGGATGCTATCAACCTACCCAGGGATATGGGATGTCATAATGATGCCAGTGAAAACATTTTTGGTCCAACTTTGTTCCAACCAACATCGAGGCATACCTAAGATAAGTCTAAACACTGCATTTCCCATCTTCAGATAAAATGAGTGGTGGGAAGACAAAAAGAAACAAGCAGAAAACAGGAAAGAATGGCTGTTATACTTTCAGCGGCCAGTGCTAAATTAATTAGGTTGCTAGGAAAAGAGAAATGCCTTCTCTTCTCTGTTAGGTGTGGACAGAATTCTGGCGAGGGGGAAGGGCCCCAGTCGGTCAATTTGCTATTGGTGTCCTCTACTACCGAGTACTACGAATCCCAGACGCCTGAATTGTAGATGAGCTGGGGACAGCGGCCTAATTTGTGGATTCGACAATGCGCTGAAGAGAGGCCGTGGCCCAAAGTTCTGCGAGGGCACAAGAGGAGGGGAGGCTGCACGTCATCCTGCACCCCTAAATACCACGTCGGGGGAGAAAAATCTATGCTCGGCTCCAGGACCAGCCCGGGCAGCAAAAGGCGAGCGGCCTCTGCCTGTCTAGAGGCAGTTTCGGCGCCCGGCGCAGCTCTGGGTACCTGACTCTCCGGCCCACAGGAGAGGGAGGAGACTCCAGGGAAGGCGACCCAGGTCGTGCGCCGAGGTGTGCAGACGCCGCCAGCAGCCTCCCAGCCCTAACCAGGCTGCAGCCCCGCCAGGACGAGTGCTCCTCAGAGACTCCATTCCGGCTCCAGTTCCAGCTCCACCCAGCCTTCCAGCTCAGAGGCAGATGGAGGACTTGCCTATGGCGCTCGATCCCTCCAACTTTTCTCCCAGCGGATTTGCGTTCGAGGTTGCACGGCGGGTGAGTCCACGCTGGCTCCAGCCGCTCTCCAGGAAAAAAGCAGCTGGGAGAAGGCGCAGAGTCGATCCGGAACCGGAGCTCCTCGCCCGGCACGCAGAGATGCATTCTGGCTTCTGCACTTCTACGGCTTTCAGGACCCAGGCACTCAACCAGCACCTAGTAAAGACTTAGCGGAGACCAAAAGAGCCCCAACAGCCGGGCAGGAGAAGGCGTGCCAAAGCCGAGGGGGGCGGGAGAGCCGAGCCGGCGTCTGCGCTGGGGGCGCGGGCTGGAGCGGCTGCCGAGCCACAACTTCCTTCTTCCTCTCCCCTCCGGCACTCCCGGCCTCCTCCCATCTCCTCCCACCCCCTCTGTCCTCTCCACACCACACTCGCGCGCACGCACACACACTTGTATTTTGTGCTGTCGTAAAACCCACGTGTCCAACCCGGAGGCTGCCAGAGCGCAGCGGAGGAGCCGGGACGCGGCGGCTCCGAGCGTCGCAGCCACCGAGGCTTCACGCGACTTGGTCCCTTCGCCCCGGTCCCCAGCGCCCCCGCGCTCAGCGCTCTTGCGCTCTCGCGTTTGGCACTCGCAGCCCAGAGGTCGCGGCCTCCGGACCCCCGAGGCTCGCCACCCGCGCAGCCGGGGCATGTAGCCTCGCGGGACGCACCCCGTCCTGCTCGCTCGCCGACACACGCACGCACACAGGCACGCGCCAGCGGCTCAGAGTTCGCAGGTAGAGTGGGACTCTTCCCGGGCGGAAAGTCCGGGTGCCGGTGGCAGCCCCCGACTGGGCGCGGGACGAGGCCGTCCCGTCTCCCGCCTCCGGAGGCCCCGCAAACCGGGCGCCACGCCGCTCTGCTCCGGCTCCAGCTCCGGCTCCGGCTCCGGCTCCAAGGCGCTGCGGAGGGCAGGGGCTGCGTCGGATTCCGGCTGGCGGGTGGAGCGGGACTGCGGGAGGGCGGGAGCGCGGGATAGGCGCGGGTCCCTCTGTCGCCCGCTGCTCCGAGTAAACTTTGCGCTGAGCAGAGTTGGGAGACGGAACGGCGGCCCGGGCAGCGTAGGCGGAGCCGGGACCCCGCGCCCAGCCGTCCTCCCCGCTCCTCTCGCCGGGTCCCGCCGGCTCACGCGCGCCCTCCTCCCGCCCTCTGCCCTCAGCTCGTGGCGTCGGACATGCTGAAGCCGGGGGAGCCCGGCGGCTCGGCCTTCCTCAAGGTGGACCCAGCCTACCTGCAGCACTGGCAGCAGCTCTTCCCGCACAGCGGCGGCGGCGGCCCGCTCAAGAGCAGCGGCGCTGCGGGTCCCCTGGGCG